AGGAGGAGGGAGTAGGAGTAGGAGTAGGAGTAGGAGTAGGAGTCAAGCTAGCCAGCTCGAGCGAGTCAAGCATGGCATGCCCAGTCCCACCCGCCCTCCCACAACATAAGAAGCAAAGCTGGCACAACTGGGGGCCGAAGTCACACCGGCCAGCCGGTTTGGTACAGCTGATGCGGCCGCGATGGCGGTTGCCGACGGGAACTGGCGAGCGCGTGTTGAATGCCGCGCACGCATTGCCAGACGAGTCGAGAATGGCCCGGTACACCGCAGGAAGCCAGAGGTGGCCGGAGGAAGCCCGACGGTCTGACAGGACACCCCAAAGCATTTTTGTGAAAAAGCATTGGGTTTTTGATGTTTTTATGTTGAAATGCTTGCAAACACACGGTGTTCGGTAGGATTCTGACATGAACGCGCGAGTGTGCTCTTTGTGGTATTTTTTGCACAGGATTCGCGGCCTGGGTGCATGACAGAGCATCGCGAGTGCACCGCGCGATGACGTGAAATCGCTGGATTTGACCGAATTCTTAAGATTCCTATGGTTTTCCTATGATTTCAGCAAGAGAGCCCGGGCGGGAAATTTGTACAATTTTGTGAAAAAGCATTGGGTTTTTGATGTTTTTATGTTGAAATGCTTGCAAACACACGGTGTTCGGTAGGATTCTGACATGAACGCGCGCGTGTGCTCTTTGTGGTATTTTTTGCAATGGATTATCGCCGTGGACGACAGGACGTCCATGTCGAGAGGAAAAAATAAGAAAATGTTGATTTTGTATTGTTTTTTACAGGTTAGGATGGGACCACCCGGATGCGCCCGCTATCTGCCGGCCTGAGGGGGGAGTAGGAGTATATTCTAATAAGGAATAAGGATAGGAGTAGGAGTAGGAGTAGAGAGGAGGAGGAGGAGGAGGAGGAGGAGGAGGAGGAGGAGGAGGAGGGGGAGGAGGAGAGGAGGAGGAGGAGGAGGAGGGAGGAGGAGGAGGGAGGAGGGAGGAGGAGGTAGAGTAGGAGGAGGGAGGGTAGGAGGAGGAGGAGAGGAGGAGGAGAGAGGAGGGGAGGAGAAGGAGGAGGAGGGAGGAGGAGGAGGAGGAGGAGGAGGAGGAGGAGGAGGAGGACTGGATCAGCTGCGCCAGCTTCTTCTCCGCGTCCTCCGGGGCGGGGCGACCCGCCTTCACGGACCCCTTGCTCACGGTCCCCCTGCCAGCAGTGTCAGCTAGCCCGTCTACGTCGACAGCCAGCACCTGGGGATGATGATGATGATGAGGAGGAGGAGGAGGAGGAAGAGGAGGGGGAGGAGGACACATGAGGATACATCCGCGCACACCAGGGTACGTTTGTATTATAACGAGGGCGAGGCCGAGTGCCTACTAACCCTCCTGCTGAGAGGCGCCGGCAGGCGCAGCTGCAAGCGCGGCGGCGGCAGAGCACTCCTCAACGGCAATTCCGTGGGTGGCCGCCCGCACGAATTGGGTCAGTCTGTCTCGCCCAGCGTGGGCGCGGGTAAACAGTCCGCTGTCAATATTGGCGAGGTTATCTTGCCCTTTCCTGGTGGTGCCCATGCAGGGCGCGGCAAGATGGCTTGGGTCCTTCGTGGCCGTCTTGCCGCATTCTCGGCAGAAGTACAGACGGCACTTCTGCATATAGTGAACCTTATGGGAGGCGTGGAGCTCACGCCCGCAGATGGTGGCGGCGCCCTGTACTGGCACCACAAGCTCACTGGCTGATGGCTGCATCGGCTTGCGGTGGCAGGGCGTCGCGCATGCCTGCCGCACGTTACACAGGTCCGTAGTGAGCCCACACCGTGTGCACATGTAACTGACAGCACGGAGCTCAAAGGAATGCTGGCTGGCCTGGGTGGCCAACCGGAGCTTGGTGGGACGCGGGCCTTTGGCCTGCGAGGGTCGCTCCGCGACCCATGGATCAACTGCAGGCGCGTCTGCAAGCGCGTCTGCAAGCGCCCTGCGCGCCCTCCTGCGGATGAGGGCACGCCGGGTGCCATGCAGGTCGGCGGCGGGCGCTCGGCCCACGAAGGCTGCCTCGCATGAGACCTGGGCGGCTGCACCTGCCCGCGCGTCAGCCGCTGCGCTGCCTGCCACATGGAAGCAGCGGACGGGGTCAGAAGCCAGGCCGGGTGCACCCTGGCTGTGTGGGGGCACCCAGGTGACCTCTGGCTCACTGCTGCCACGGGCCCGCAATGATTTTGCAATGCGTGCCCACAAATCAACGTTAGCACCTTCGCTGGGGCGCAGGTGGCGGTTCGTTCTCCACCCCCCGTAGAGCGGCATGTCATCAGTTATAAAGCAAAGATCTCCCGGCCAGCTTTCCAGGGCGAGCGCGAAGGCCAATAGCTCGGCTCGCGGCACCGTCTGTAAAGGGCCCCCTCCGGGCCCGACAGCACGCCCCCCCGGGGGGCCCACTCCCCGAAGAGGCACCTCATAGTAACGCAGGCGGCCCCAACCCTGCGGCGACGGGGGGCGTCACTGAACTTGCCGCCCGGGCCGTCGCCGAAGAGGGTGAGGGTTCCATCGCCGTAGGTGCAGTCCTCCCAGCCCCGCCCAACCCAGCTCCACCCGCCATCCCCACCCAGCGACGAGAAGACAGGGTGCGCGTCAGCACGCACAGGCAGGCCGAGGAGCTAGCAAGCTGGGACAGCCTCAGCCCCTGCATGGGGCTGAGGGGAGGAAGGCGTCAGAATCGGCGTCGCCCCCGCGGTCGCGATTGCGCGGGCACAGCCAGACCCTCTGCATGAGCGTCTCGTGGGAGGCACCGCAGCGCAGGCATGTCTTGCATGCCTGGCGCCCCGTTTCCACGAGGCGCTCCCCGGGCCATTGCGCCCCCGCGACTACGCAGAGGTTGAGGGCCCACTGGTCGTGCTGGCCCTTCTTGGCGAACTTCTCCATCTCGCGCGCGATGATGTGGACGTATGGGCATCCACGCTGTAGTCATTCACCGCGCGTGCGTTTGGCTGCGTCTTTACACGGGCCGTTCTCGATGGAGAGGCAAAACTCATGGACGAACCCCGCAGGGTCCACGTCGTCCTTCTTGTCCTCCCAGTCTGGTTGACTGCTATGTGGGAGGAGCCATCCTTGTACTTCGGTCTCTCCTTCACCTGGTGGGCGAGACCATTCGTACGGCGCGGGGCGCGTCCATCTCCCGCGTCTGTGGGGGGGCCTGGGTGGCGGCGATGGGTCCCTTCACCTTCCTCCACTTCTTGCTGCCGCGGCTGATCGTCTTGCCGTAGAGGAGCTTCCACGCCTGGGTGACCCGCAGGTGTTCTGGGTGCTTGAACCAGAAGTGGGGCCACTCCGTGATCGACTGGCGCCTCAACTCGATGGCGGGGTCCTTCTGCTCCAGGACTGCGGCCAGCGCGGTGGAGAGACATCGCCTCGGGTCCCCGCCAGCAGAGGCCTGGATGGCCTGCCGCCGCCGCTGGAGGATGGCCGCTGAGGACAAGCCCATGATCTGGTGGCCGCGCGCGCCCTGGGGCCTCGACCCCGTCGTCCACAGACCTTGCGCGATCTCGGCGAGGGAGGCGTGCTTCCTGACCTTCGTGACGACGCGGTCGGTGCGGCGCTTCGCCGCCTTGGCCCGTTCAGCCCCCCTCGCCGCGACCCTCCGCTTGGCGCGCCCCACGTTGATGGCGAGGTCGACGGACGTGTTGGCCACTTTGATGGAGCGGCCGTTCTTCTTGAGGCCGACGTGGACCGCGAGGGCCACCGACTGGCTGGAGGCGACCACCGCCACATTGGGCGACGCTCGGAGGCCCTCTTCCGTCATGCCAGCATAGAGGTCCGTCGCCACACCCATGAGGTCGCTGATGACCTGCTTCGTCTGGCCCTCCGTCCTGGCCACCACGCGGTCAACGAAGGTCCACAAGCCCGCGCAGGTGTAGTTGTGGTGGGCCCTCTGGAGGATCGGCTCGAGGTAGACCTCCACTAGCTTGCCACCGTTGCAGCTGCCCGCGACGATGGGCCGCTGCGGGTCGATGATGTCGCTCACCCAGCGGCGCATGCGCAGATGCCTGGGGGCCAGTTAGAGCTGCACCTCCAGCGCCGCGACTATTGGCGGGAATGTGACACCGATCGCGGCGACGGAGGGGAACGCGCGGGAGACCGAGTCGTCGGAAATCTCGACGTCCATGAGGGCGGCGGCGAAGGCAATGCCGAACGACTCTGCCGACTCGTCGAGGAGGGCCCTGGCAAGCGCGGCCCTGGGCGCGCTGGAGCCCTTGATGGCATGGCCCCAGAACTCCGCCAGCTCCTTGGACCACTCGTCGGCAATGGTGGACCGCATCTTGGCCCATGTCTCGGGGATCGTCGGGGGCATGCCCAGGACTCCTTCCCCGCCAGCAGGCTTGGGAGTCATCGCTCCGACCGTGGCGCGTGAATGTTGCGGCCACGGGCCGCTCTGCTCCACCGCGTTGTACATGTTGGCGAGCTCCTGGATGCCCTGTTGGGGAAGTCCCTGGATGTCGACGGGGCCGATGTTGTCGACCCCTCTCGACGTTTTGGGGTGAGCGACGCCTGCGGC